TAACTAATGGGAAATGAACAGACAAAGCTTTCCCGGCGTCACGACGAATGGCTGATGTTACGTTGCGGTGGTATCATACAGCGCGGCACAAAACGACGTAGGGTGTCCCGACGTCATTGCTTTGCTATATTACACTACGGTGAATCCCAGTCTACGGTTAACATACAACCAAATACTCCCTAAATATATTTTCATTGTTGAATAACTTCATTTTGCAATGTCCTCTGTTTTGCATTCCTCAGATGGTGCACCGCGTGGTGTAGACGCAAAGGAATTTCATGGATTCACGTAGGAAATGTTATTCCCATGTTTGAGATAAAGCGACTCAATTTAGTAGCATACCTGGAAGAGTGGGGCACGCGGTAGCGTAGTTGGTTGAGCAACTATGCTACAAGCTTGTAGGTAGAGGGTTCGAGTCCCGAGGAGATGGATTTTTTTCAATTGACCTAATCCTTCCAGCCGCACTATGGGCCCTGGGGTCTATTCAGCCTCTAATAGAAATGAGTACCAGGCATCTTCCTGAGGGTAAAGGGCGGCCGGCGCGTATGGCTGACAACCTCACCGCCACCGTTTTCTTCTTTTGGGTGGGTGCGGGGGGGGGTGTTGAATGTTAGAATTTCCGTTGGAATCCGCCTGCCGTCCATTCGTTGCAGGCGGTATTTCCACTGTGATGTGGGTTTTAGACTTTTAGCATTTAGATTAAAGATGTTCAACTCTTTCTTAATGTTAGGACTTCTTATTTAGTCCCTAATTATGTAGTCTGCTACGCTCTACAAGAATTTCATTTCTGCAGTTTCAATTTTTGCCTCCTGTTTTCTCATAATAATCAAAATTTCGGATCCGCCTTTAAGTGTAAATGTGTAAAATTTTTACTTTTGTAAAATTTGCATACCTTCCTTCATTCATTCGTAAATGGCTCTAGAGCCGTTTGTGCTGTTCTTGCCTCTTCTTCAGTACCTTAACCTTTTAAACATGGACGGTAAGACTCCTTGGACGGGTGATCAGCCCGTCGCACGGATGCTACCTAAATACAGGAGAACACAAACGCAGAATAAACACACACACAAACATCCATGCCTTTGAGTGAAATTCGAACCCACGATCCCAGCGTTCGAGCGAGCGAAGAAAGTTCGTGCCTTAGACCAGGCGGCCACCGTGATCGGCCTAGTAAAACTTCATCTTTGTATATTTTCTTCTATTGTTACTCACTGTTCGAGGTAAAAATTGTGAGGCTATCCCGTGTAACAGGCCGTGGAGGCCTGCAAGGTTGTGAGACGTCGAGACTCCCACATATTCTCTAGACAATCGGCCCATTGATGGCGGTAAGTTTTTCAGCCTTACGCCCCGGCCACCCTTTAACCCACAGGAAGATTTCTAGTACAGAGGCTGAGTCGAACCTAGGGCCATAGTGCGGCTGGAACGATTAGTCAAATTGAGAAAAAAATCTACCTCTCGACCTTTCTGCTTGTAGCACAGTGCCTCAACCAACTACGCTAACGCGTACCCCATGCTAAATTAACTGTACCCAACTAACTCCATGGAGCTGAGTCCTACTGGAGAAGCCACCAGCTCCTCAGATATTCAAGAATTTCTCAACATTTCACGGAATCCAAAGGTGCATTGTCTTGTTCACAAGATCCCGCCAGTCGCCCCTTTCCTGAGTCAGATCAATCCAGTCCATACCACCTCACTCTACCTCTATAAGATCCATTTTTTATATTATCAACCCACCTATCTCTTGGTCTTCCTAGTGGTTTCTTTCCTTTTAGCTTTCCCACAAAAGCCCTGTATGAATTAACCTTCTCTTCATGCTTCATTCCCTGCCCATCACAGCGCCTTTGACCTGATTATTCTAATTGTATTTGGTGAAAATTACAAGTTCAGAAGCTCTTCATTACGTAATCTTCTCCAGCTTTCTAGTGTTTCGTTATTTTTCGGTCCAAATATTCTCATCAGCCCCATTCTCTCAAACACCCTCAGTCTAAGTACTCGTACTTGCCTTAACGTCATCGCCAAGTTCGACGCTTATAAAATCTACTGGCAAAATTATAGTTCTGTATATTTTAATTTTATGGGTTTCGGACAACAGACAGGAAGACAAAAGGCTCTGAATTGAATGGTAGTAAGCATTGCCCGAGTTTAATAAGTTCTGCCTTTCCATTTAATCAGAACTAATTATACAACAATAAAAAATATTTGTCGTTTGCGATTAGAACATTTTTGCACAGGAATTCCTTTCATAGAGACTAAAAAGAATCCAAAATATGCAGACGTTTCCCGTAACGTGAAGAAGCTTAAAGTTAAGGGAACATTTATAATAACTTTGGATTCTCAACTGTTTAAATAATTGTCCGTAAACAACTTTAAGATAACTTGTCATCTCGGAATTGGATAATCTTATGAGAGAATGGATATAACTTCCAATTAAGAACTGATTTAATTTATTGAATTTTGTGCCTACTATTTTTCAGAATTTCCTACAGCGAAGAAGATAAGAAATGCTGAATTATGTGACGAAAACTTTCTAATTTTAAAGTTTCGAGCTGCTAAAAAAAAAGGCGTCTGTAAGCTGTTAGTCCGTCCTTATTAAACTGAGCGTGGAGAAAGTCTGATTTGTTTCAAGGGAAGGTTTTACATTCCTGTCCTCCGGAAATATCTTCCAACTAAGCGCGAATAAAATAGTACAAATACTCGGCAATCTAGCAAAATGCTAACGCTAAAGCAAAACATTATCGACGCTTGAAACTTCTCAGTGATATCCTAAAAGAAAACGACGTGTATCCTATCATACAAGTAATAATTCCTCGCTTACATTGCGTTACTCTACTTCTTTTGGCTTATTTTGGACTTCACCCATCGTCCGGTATATAAAAGACAAAAAACACGACGTTTCGGAGACTGGATCTGTCTCCGTCTTCAGGTGGATAGGGAGGTTAAACCTACTCAGTTGGGCCCCTTAGAAAGAGCTAGTCTCAATCACTGGACAGCTCTTTCTAAGGGGCCCAACTGAGTAGGTTTAACCTCCCTATCCACCTGAAGACGGAGACAGATCCAGTCTCCGAAACGTCGTGTTTTTTTTGTCTTTTATATACCGGACGATGGGTGAAGTCCAAAATAAGCCAAAAGAAGTACAGTATACACCATCGTCAGAATCCTTTCAAGTCTATTGCGTTACTACACACTTTTTCTGTGGCCCTGTGCCAATTTAAAGAATATTTGAACAATGTGCTGTATGCTTCTGATAAATAAGCTTTATTTTCTTGGGCGTTATACATCGTACTTTATAATGAAGAGGACGCGGTATGAGGCACTGTGCTAAAAGCTGGAAGTTCGTGGGCTCGATTCCCGATGAGGTTATTATGTTTCTCTTGACCTAATCCTTTCAACCGCACCAGGGGTCGACTCAACCTCTAACAGAAATGAGTATCAGGAATCTTCCTGGGGGTAAATGGCGGCCGGCGGGTAAGGCTGACAACCTCGTCTCCATCTGAGACGATTGTCTGGAAAATGTGGGAGCCTCGGCGTCTCACAACAATATGGGCATCCACGGCCTCTTACAGGGATAGCTTGGCGTGTATAACTGACAACCTCGCCGCTATCTGTCAGCGAATTTTCTAGAAAATGTGGGAGCCTCGACGTCTCACAACCTAATGGGCCTCTACGGCCTGCTATAGGGATAGCTTGGCGCGTAAGGCTGATGACCTCACCGTCATCTCTGAGCGGATTGTTTAGGAAAGGTGGGAGCCTCAACGTCTCACATCCTATGGGCCTCCACGGCCTGTTAGAGGACAGCTTTGCCTTTAAATTTACTTTTCAACGAAACACGTTTCGGAAGCTCGATCTCTGTGTTACCAGGCGTGAAACCACTGCGTCAAACTGAGCTTAATAAAGTGATTATGTATGTGATTACTGGTTTCAAACCTGGTTTTGTTGTGGGAACAGTTGATGTGCGTGGCCACAGGCTCTACTTTGAGGTAACTATTAATATCGGGTGGTCAACAGGGAACAGCAATAATGAGTAATAAAATTAAAATTGTCTCTATTTATGAAGTTTGTTAAATCCAACATAAATACTTCTTCTTGGGAAGCTGATACAGTACCTTCTTTTGTATCCGAGGGTTCATTGTCATATTCTCAATCATGACTAATGAATCAGTCTGAGCCAGCTGAATCCACCCCACAATCTCACATTCTTAATACTTCAGTTAAATTTTAATATCAAACTTCCATCTATGTCTAGGTTTTCCAATTTATTGATTTTAGCTTTTTTAGTTCACGTTTTATATTAGTTTTTTATCTTACCAAAGTGTGCTACATGTCTCTGCCATCTCAAGTCCCTTGATTATTTCATAACAACAATGTTCATTCCAGAGTACTAATCGTGAATCTACACTTTATATCATTTTTTAAATTCTCTTTTGTTCTTCCTTTCGCACGTCACCAAGCATTTTGATGGCGATGAAATCAGAGAACATGGGACAGATCGTACATACATTAAACACGAGAAGAAAGGGAGGAGAAAGGAAAACAAATATTCGCCGTCGTATGTGTGACTATAGACGGGGTTTGGATTGGTAAATAGATTTATTCAACACTCACAGGCCGTAACTTCAAATAACTATACCACTATCCATATTTCCACATTTTACAGTTCACTAGAGCACACAGTCTAGTATTTTCAGTCGGTTACTAGACGTTTCCAGGCAACGGTTCCAACAATGGATAATACTCTGCCTTCAGCTCAAGTCCTCTTTTCACATAATCCCGTACAGAACTGACTAAGCTCTAACCTTGTCCCTTGCTTGTAACATCTAGACACGTGCCACATAGAAAGCTCTTCTATTGTTGTAGCCCAAATGTTGCCTAACAATAGGAACGTGTTTACGGGATCGTTGCCAAGAAACGGCGTTGATATAACCGCCCACCTCGAGGTCGTTGCATAGCAACGGTTCTACACGCTACAATATAGATGAACTTGGTGTCACAAGCGACTGACTTACCTGATACCCCCGCGCGATGTGTCGTAGTTGAGCATCCTCTGGCCGTGTTTCCACGTGACGTAGCTGGACGGCTGGGCCACCTGACTGATAACACACTTCAGCTCTATAGTGCTCCCCGCCTTGTAGAACTTGTCAGGAATGGCATCCCCTCGCTCGTCCACAATCTCTACTTTGGGAACTGTGAACATGGAAACAATACTTCCTGTCATACTTCAAGTTCTGATTGATCGATCGACAAACGATATACATGGCGTTCAATCAAGGAGGAAACTCCGCAACACCGTTGACCGGGACCAACATTTCTCACAGATTGCTGCTGTAACTGTAACGGCTCGCGTTTATCAGCGCTGATGAGTCATTCTGCTATCAGCAGTTACAGCAGCAATCTGTGAGGAATGTTGGGCCGGGTCAGCGGTGTTGCGAAGTTTCCTCCTTAACTGAACGCACTGTGTTTATGAAGAGTTCTATCTTCTGGAGTACAGCGCCGTGTACTCAGTTGAAGGTTGACTGTCGTTTCGGGGGAACACATAGCCAAACCACGCACAAAAAGTCCCTTGTACTGCGGCCACATCTGGCCTATTGTAACAGCCCCAGATGATAGGTTAGGGTGATTGTGGAGCAATTGGTGGAATGAAGATTGGCAGGGGAAACCGAAGTACTCGGAGAAAACCTTCCTCAGCGCCACTCTGTCCACCACAAATCCCACTTGATCGAACCCGGGCCGCCGCGGTGGGAAGCCAGCGATTAACCGCTTGATCTATGGCGCGGCCTTGAGAAACAGTTACTTCATGTTACATTATGCATTGATATGGATTGAGCTCCAAACAATTCCAATATGAAACTCGCAAGACGAAGGTAAAGTTGTTCCTTTACGCTAGTCAGCACCATGACATGAAGATATATGGGGAATTGGAGGTAAAAAGTAAAAGTGAAGCTATCCCTGTAACAGGCCATGAAGGCCCATATGTTTGTGAGACGTCGAGGCTCCCACATTTTCTAGACAATCGGCTCACAGATGGCGGTGAGGTTATCAGCCTTACGCTCCGACCGCCCTTTAACCCCCAGGAAGATTCCTGGTACTCATTTCTGCTAGGAGCTGAGTCAACCCCAGGACAATATTGCGGCTGGAAGGATTAAGTACATTGAATATAATCCACATCATCGGGACTTGAACACGGAACCTTCCGGCTTGTAGCATAGTGCCTCAATCGACTATGTTACCGCGTGCCCCTGGGAAGTTTTTTGAGAGGAGAAGAATATTTTGCTGTTGCAGTAAATCGAACCTCGGTCGACCAGCCCATAGTCCGTCACGGCAACCAACAAATAACTGAACCAATATTTAATATAATTGTGATATAATGAATCCACAAATGTTCGGAGGCTGGTTTTGTGATTTAGACTATTCTGAGGTACATGAAAATTTCGTGGATATTGTTTAGTTGAAAAATGATTCGTCATTTAATATGTGAATATCCATTTACAGACAATGTGAGGTGTTTAGTTAAATAGGAAGATGAATATACGCAAATAAAATGAAGAAAATTTATCGCAAGAATTACTGCTAGATAATAAAGCTAATTTATTTAGACCGCAATCACAAACATGAGTCAATCCCAGCCAATTATTCACTTCAGATGTGAAATACATAAACACATAGGTGATAGAGAGGGGCACCAATTGCGTTGTTTGTACTATTCCCCCTTTCCGGTGTTTATCGGCGTTCTCTCTTGGTTGTAACATGATAAAATCTGTTTTACGCATTCACACCGAAACATGAACTGGATCAGTTATTCCCCAAATAACCAGGTAATTACGTTTCGCCAACGGCTGTACACTATTCTCTCTTGATATGTGCGCTGTAAATGATCGGTCTGGTAGAACGGGGGTACTAACGCGGAGAACGGAGTTTCTGTGTTCAGATCCTGCTCAGAGCTTGGGTTCCTCTCCAGACACGCGTACGCGTTAGAGTTTACGCTTCCGTAACGTTATCTGAACTAGAACCCGTAATTTCGTCACGCGTACCCCATACACGTGACAATATTTAATTATAAGCGAAATATTCCTTGTGGTAAATTATTCTTATTTTTTTACATGCTCAAGCATTAGTCTCTCTGATACAAAACCCTGGATAAATCGCTCAGTTTTTCGTTATAATGTACTAAACTTCTCATTTATTTCGTCCATTTTGCGTCCGAATATTATATTGTCTCGTGTAAAGGGGATTCTGCTTGTGACTTATAAGACGGGTTCCGGATTGGATAATTGACACCTTATACATTCAACTCGGGACTACAGGAAATTATAGCGCTGTCGCTCTTCTATGCACTTTATACAGCCCACCGTTTGTGCTTTGTGCTTTCGAACACTTATTTATAACAAGTTTGCACGGACCACGCAGAAAACACAGCCTCTAGTGTTAATGCGGCTTATTTACTGATCCACTGCCAGGCAGTGGACGTGCTATTGTTGCGCGCGGTTGCTTCCGCAAGCATGTGTTTACCGAGACGTTGCCTATCAATTGGTATACACGTCACAATACCTACTACACTGTTCACTTACTTAGTCCCTTTTAAAGCCGTGCCATAGCTCAAGCGGTTAGTCGCTGGCTTCACACTGCAGCGGCCCGGGTTCGATCCCGTGTCTGGTTAAGTGGAATTTGTGGTGGACGAAGTGGCGCTGGGGCTGGTTTTCTCTGTGTAATTCGGTTTCCCCTACCAATCTTCATTCCACCAAATTCTCCATCATCATAATTGCCCGGGGCACGCTACAATAGTCAATCAGTGGCCGCCGCGCCGAATGGACCCAGTTGGACTCCACCCTCCATTAAGCGAATTAAAAAAATAGTCCCTTTTACGCCAGAATTTTATATCTGCTAAATTGTTCTGTAACTTCATCCTTCTTAAGTCCGAATATTTTGCTAAGCACTTCGTTTCGAAACATAACTTTATACTAATCCTTAAAGAATACATACGCTTATACATCAATGGGCAAAAAATATGTCTTTATCTCTTTATTTTCAGTGTTTTTGAAAGTACACAGGATTGCAGTCGAAATATTTTTTTTTTCATTGGCGCTACAGCCCTCATTTGGACCTAGACCTACCTCCATGAAACTCTCCGTTTCACTTAGTTTTACCAGATCTTTGACATTTGGTAGGACTCCTTGGGCGAGTGGTCAGCTCGTCGCAAGGCCTCTACCCGTACACAAATACATAAAAACGCACACAAACATCCATGCCCTGAGTGGAAAGTCGGTACATTTACCCAACCGAATAATAAAAGATAAGGTAAAGGTAAGCCGGTCACGGTAGCCGAGCGGTCTAAGGCATGCACTGTCTTCGCTCGCTCGGAAACCGAGATCGTGGGTTCGAATCCCACTCAGGGCATGGATGTTTGTGTGCGTTTTTCTGTGTTTGT